CATCCATAGGCTGCATTTGTTCACAACTAGGAAAGACTACAGAAATTGTCAACAATTTCTTCTATCTATTGCTTTTTTTGCACTTTTTTGACCATAAGCTCCTATCTACTTAAGTTTTTTTTAATGCTCTTAAGCTAGGTTTTTGCAATGTGACAAGCAAAGCAGACTAAAAACTTCTTAAAGCTCATAAAAAAGACTGCAGATAAAAAGCACTAATGCTTTCGCTAGCGATCACGCTTTGTAAATAAAAAAATCTGCATTCTGCAAGAAAAAAACCCTGCATTCTCTATAATGCAGCAAGTTTTTTTCTCAATTCAATAACTTTACTGTAAAATGCTTTAGCCTTCTAGAATTTTTTTCTGTCAACACTTAAGACAAAGTTCATAAAAGTCCCAGCATTTTTCCAATCCTTTCAGTTGCCACAGTTCCTTTATCAACAACTTTTCTTCAAAAGAAGAAAATCATTTTCTTTTAAACTATACAGTTTATTTTTGTTCACCCCAAAAACAGTCTATTAAACTTCTGCACCAGCACCGGTGTGAGCAGTTTCAATTCATTCTCAGGTTTTCTAACAAGACGTTGACAGCTTGCCTTGAGAGCCTTTGACGTCCTTAAAATTAAGGCAATTAAGATTCAAGATAAACCTTACCTAAACATTTCTTTAAAAAAAAACCAAAAAACCAAAAAAAACCACTCTAGATTTAAAACAAGAAGAAAAAATAAAATGAGAGAAAAAGAGTAGCTTAATTTTTGAGGAAGACAATTGGTTTTCATCGCAACTTGCTCCCTCTTGACATCATCAGTTTTTCTGTTAAAAAAAAAAATCTAGCTACACCTCCAGGTAAATTCTGAATTCAAATGTTCGTCCAGATGAAATGTTAACCCAGCATTTTTCCTCTGGGTTTTTCCTTTAGTTAAAAAAAAAAAATAGCAAAAATAAAATTGTCAGACTACATGACAGAACCATTTGCACAGCACATAAAAACACTGTTTTGTTTTCGTTGGGAAAGGTAGAAAAAAAAAGCATTCATTTGACGCCTGTGCAAACTGGAAGCCAACTTCTTGTTCAGTGAAGTTTCTCCATTCAAGGCAAAGATTTCAGACCGACATTCTTCAGTCCTGTTTATTGTCTGTAAAAACAATTGAATTAAAGTGGTCATTAAGTCAAAACAACTTCAAAATAAGCTCCTCTCCTTTTTTTTCCACCCAATTCCCTTTAATAGTTATCCAAGCTAAACTAACTTTGCAGCTGTTCAAATACGATACTACCACTAAGCTGAAAATAGTCAGGCAGAAATAGGGAACTCCTGCTTTGGGGATGTTAACGTATCCTAAGCAGATGAATTTACTCTTGTTAATGCTATGCTTAATGGGCAGTCTAACTACACTGAAATGAGACAAATACATGGCTTAACACTGTGCAAATATTTCAAGAGTAATACAATAAGAGAGTGGAAATTTTCATAATAGTAAGTGGCACTATTTATTTTTGATACTACTAATAAAATGAAGGATAAAATTACAATAAAAGGATGCATCCAATTTGCTAAAAAGAACACATTTTCTGATAGCAAAAACAGTTAAGACTGTGGAGCCGTCTGCTTAATGAGCCAGTTACAGCTAACTTATTAAAATCATTCAAGATAATGTTAATTAGAAAAATGTAATTTTTGATCATATAGTGTCAAACCTTTCTAAATTTAGCACAGAGACTAAGCTAAACTATCAACCTTTTTCTTACAGGAGATAACTCTCATTTTGTGTTTTTGAGGTTTCGTGTCATTTAAAGATATGTCACATTAAACTTAGCAAGACTGATGTATGAGATCTCTGGGGAGACATAGAACCTACATGTAAACGCTATTTCATATCTAGGTCTATCAGTAAGGGTTAGCTATTGCTTTTCATATAGTCCTCAAAGCTTGCATGGGAAAAATCCCTTTCCAACCGAAGTTCAACACAAGAAAATCTGGCACCTTTCCTTTTGCAAGCACTAATGCCTTTGCCTTGCTTAGTTTTAAATTAATTTTAGTATTAGGAGTTAAATTGTGAAGAATGTTAATGACATAACATATACCACAGAACTATTTGTCTGTGATGATAAACATAAAACTAGCTCCAATTTTAAATATTAAATTTACCAATGGACTTTTTTATTGTGTGAAGCCTGAAAATTAATATTTTGAATATGACAATAGATTTATGTGGAAAGCAAGAATTATTTTCTTAGGGTTTTCTATGCATAACTTCTGGTAGGAGTACTCAAGTTGGATGCTCACCTCCTGAGATTTTACCACCCCTCTGGGTGAAGTGGCCACCATACATGTGAAAGACCAATTCCACTGAAGAGTCACAGCACACACACTCTCTAATCAAACCTGGCATTGAGTTTCCCCACAAAAGGCTCCAGAAAAATGTAATTCTTTCCACATTTAAACGAGTCAGAGGTTTGCTTAGAGGTAAGAGAGTTCATTTTTCAGGGGGAAGGATCTCCATTTATCTCCACTTCATAGATTTCACACTTCTATTTGAAAAATTAAAGACTTACAAGGAAAAAAGGGAGTATGGGTCTAAAATAATTAAGGTGATTTCCTCATAAAGTAGAGTCCACTGCTCAGAAACTAAGGGCTGTTTCTTCGACATGGCTACACAATAGGTAGCCAGGTTTTTGACATGAAATTATCGCTTCTGAACATCTATGGATGGGAACTTCAAGTACAGCAGACAGCACATTAAATAAAAGAACGTGTATGCTGATTAAAAAAGTGGAACTTAAATTTTAAGTCTCATGGTTTATTTCTACTTACAAAGAGAGTATAGAGTCCTTATACCACCCAGTTCATTCTGAGTACATTGCCTCTCCTTCGTTGCCTGCAATTTCATGATTGTTGCAAAGAAAATAAATATTATGAAATACACTGTTGTAACTTTTCTCCTGACTGATCAGCTCCTATGAAATAATTTCATAGTGTCTGCCTTTTTCTTTGCCTATATCTGACAAAATCATTGTCCGGTCATGTTAATTACTTCCTCTCATCTTGCTTTGAAAACAGCTGTTGTATACTGGGCATGATGCTTGCTATTAATAAATACGCCCTTCGAAAAGCAGATTAATAAAATATTTGAACTACATAATAACTTCGCTTGTTTTCATATTAAAGGTTACTGAAATATTCTGGCAGAAGTTGTTTTTTTTAAGACAGAGATCGTGTATATTTTGATTTGCTTCTACAGCTTAGCACACTTTGCATTTCTGCCTGCAACTGGCAGATATAAATAGAGGGCACATTTCAAAAAAAAAAAAAAAAGAAATAATCATAATAAAAAATCTGTAGTAGATCTGCCTGTGTGATTAAAAAAGAAAGAAATTCCTCTGAATATAAATGCCAGTGCTATTAGAAGTGTACCCATCATTGCAACAAGGCAGTAGCTGACAAGGAAACATGAGGGAGCTCATTCTCAGAGAAGGTGGGAATTCACCACATTGGCAAGAAACACAGCACCCATTTCAATAAAGAATTGCAATGTAGTTCCCTCCTATATGGGAAAAATGCCAGAATCCGCTGCTTACAGCTACTTTATGACGGCTACCTTATGAGGGCTTCTGAATCTAAGTCCTTCTGCTTTGAGACTTAAGCAAAAGGGAACCAGAGCACAGGAATGGTCCAAACCCCTACAGATGACAGTCATCAAAACAAGCCAACAGGACACTGCAGTCACATATATTTCTCTCTTTGTATACTTATATATCCTGTAAGTATTTTGCCATCATTTATTTAAAAGTTCTAGAGAGACTGATGACTAGAAAGGATACACATTGGAGACTGTGTCACCAATTGGGTGCATCAATAAAAAGCTTGTGATCAATTGCTTTTGTGATGTGTACATATAGACAAAGATGTGCATGACATAAGAAACTACGAGGTCTTATGTTTTACGGTGGTCAAAAAGGGACATTGTGTGATCTGAAACCATATATTACTCATACGTTAGACAAATAAATGCATCTTCCACTTCCAGAGGTCAAAAATGAAGTAAAGCAATTGACAGATTGGTATAATTCTAATCTTTCCTATACCAGCTCGTATCTTAATGCCTCTATAGGTACTATGTCATGATGCATTGACTGACATATCTAAGATATTTCTTGTCTGGCTATTTGTCTGCTTCCTTCCCCAAGATAAGAAATGTGTAATTCTCTTTTCACAGTGAGGCTGTTGTTCAATATACATGTATAAATAAAGGACTGGGTTTCAGCTCCTTCCTAGAATCTGTTCAACATTCATCAGTCCCGGTGAGTACCCTGTCGCTAAATAACTTTCCCTTCATGAGGACCACTTCTATTGTGGCAAAGAGGAGTGTTTGAGGATTATTGTGAAGATGAAGGGACTCTTCAGCAGTTCTAGATCCAGCTGTCAGTGTATAAATTTTGAATTTTCCAAGGTATTCCATGGGAAGTAAACAAAGGGAGCAGAGGACAGGAGAAGGACAGAGCAGTGCTTCTCCCCATCCCTGTCTTATCCCTTCTTCCCTTTACAGTTCCTGCCCACTCAGTGTCTGCACGGCACCAGTTTTGCACAATCACAAATACCAACTTGGAGCAATTGATTCTACTTTATTAGCTACATTTTCAGAAAGAAACCTTTACATGTGTACCATACCAATATTTTCACCACTGTAAAATTTAAGCTCTCTTTTTAACCTGATGCCAGATGCTGCTTTAGCCCAGTGTGATGATTGTTAACACAGTTGTTAAGATCCTTCTGAGTCCAGAAAAACAGCAGACAGTTAGAGAGCATATCATTGCAGGCAGGAACTCAAGGACATTTTGCCAAGGTGAGGCCATCAGCCAAAACCTTTCGCTAATTACGCTGCTATATATCCAGAATTCATCTGAACTTAATGAAGCTACTCAGAATTTATACTGCTGAAATGGAGAGCAGAATTTGGCCTGCTATAATCAAGAAACAAATCCTCCTGGTTACAACGCATATGCCTACTTACTTAGACTGTTGGTAAGAATATGCAGGTGCATGTTCACTGGATGTTTCCACTGTCATCTGTTGCTGTTGACCACTGGCGTCCTGTGATGAAGATGCTACTGTCTGTGGAGAAGTATCAGCAACAACACCCTAGGGAATGAAATGAGAACATGAAAAACATGTATTAGATAAATGAGCTGAGCACCAGCTCACCATTCCTTTATTTCTTTAGAGGTCGAGACAGTTTGATATAGCAGAACCACATGCTAACACAGCAAACTCCGTCAGTTTTAGAGAGCTAATCCAGCAACAAGAAGCTTCCTTATCATACCAGCCCCTGCAGTACTTTGCTCTCACAGGCTGCAGTAGAAAACACCTCCACCTTTGAGGGTAGCTCCCTGCCCATTCAAAGACAGAGGCAAACCCTGTGAGTTTGGATTTTACCTCTTGTCTTTTTTACAACACATGCATGGCTCTTCTAATTTTCACTTACCTATCCCAACTTCACAGTGAGTTCACATTTATTTTGTTTGATTTGCAATGTGATAAAGGCAGAATCTAGGCCCACCGCTGTGTGCTTTACTACACGTCCAACAGAATTTTAGCCACCTTAGAAAAATATTGCTCCCCTGTACACACTACTTTTAAGAATATTCCCTTCAAAAGTAAAATTACTTTACACTAAAGACTTTTATCTGTTAAGTCAAAGTTCCAATGAAGTTTTGTTTTATTTATATGTTTCCAAAAAAACAGATAACAGAAAAAAGATTATATGTATGAATTTAACATTATGCACTATTTCTTATTCTATTTAGACAGTCTGAATAATACTATTTTTAAGTATTTTTGTACACTTTCAAAGTAAGCCCTGTTTTCTTCCCTCTACTTTTATGCTTGGTGTGTTGGTCACATGAGTAACACCAGCAGGTCTCTTCAGGGAACTGTATTGCACACAACAGAGCCAGAAGAGGGAGCACAAAGCACTTGCTTTGTTTTTCTTTGAGTCCTGTGTAAACAACAGGTAGTTTATTTTAAATTATCTGTTAAAAATACTAGTTTTATTTTTCAGAAATTCTTCATAGCTATTGCTTAACAGACTGTCAGTACTATCTTTCTCTGTCTACTTCCTTGTCTTTATACTTCTGCTTTTGTCCATCCCATCTTCAGATTGTAAGCTCTCTGGGGCAGAGACTGGATTTTTTGGTCTCTGCTTGTGGAGCACCCAGCACACTAGGGTTCTGGTTCATGATGCTACATGAATACAGATAAACATTAACAATAATCATTCTCACTGGATCAGAGCAAGACAGGCTATATATTCAGATAATATTTTGATTATTACAATAGTTAATTACAACATCATGTTACTTTAGCAGGCATGAATATACCAGCGGGTGATGGGGAGGAAGGGCTCAGGAAGAATCAACTTAATTTCTCATTCGCACTGGTCAGCACAGTATGCAGACAGTACTGCTGTATGAGCCACTCTCCATCCCACCACGTTCTTTTAATTTGGATTTGCATCTGCTCAGTTTAATACCTAAGAAAGGTAACTGTAAGAAGGCAGCATGGCCCATTTGTAAACAAACAAGGTTTAGTGCAAATTTATCCTGAGGCAAAAACCACAACCAGCTTGGTATGACAGAACAGTAGCAGCCTTTCCTGTGGGACCTCATTTGGGATTCTCCTCAGTATTTGCAAAGAACTGGAAGAAACCAGGATGAGTCCACTTGACTGCTGGTGGAGCCATACCAACAATACCACTAAGACAGCATCCTCAAAGCACAGAGTAGCAAACAGCACAAACTCCAAAGTCCACATAGCTGAAGACAGATGTAGAGAGACCCTGGCACTCCTCTCATTACCCAAGAGAAGGGGAGAAGTTATTAATAAAAGAGGGTAGCACCAAAGAGAAGCACACACGGAAGAGGATGCCATGGCTCCCTCCTCTTGCTGTGCTCAGCGGCCCTTATGAAGCTTCCAGAAGTGGAGGCCAAGCTGACGCTCTCCCGGCAGCTTGTGGTCTACAGGGTTGAGTAAATACTTACTCATTAGACTGTCATCAGCATGACTCAGCCCCAAGGAGGGAGGGAGCGAATCCTTCCTCAAGGATGAAAAGCACTCAGTCAGTGCAGCATCCTCCATGTCTGTATATACAAGAGGAAGGTTTCCATTGCTCAATCACTTTTTCTGGTGGCTAAATATTTCAGCAATTACCTATACTTGCTAAGGACCGCATCAAACCCTCTTGCAATCTTCTCGGAATCTCTTTTGGGTTCGTGGTCTGCCTGCTGGGTTTGTTTTCCTGTCTCTTCCCATCTCCCTCCCAAGTACATGGGGAAAAAATAGTCATAATCACTTATGTTTTATTGCATGTCCTGCTGTACAACAAAGCAAATACAAAACAACAGCCCTTGCAAATAAATTTAAAAAAAAAAAAAGGAGGGGAGGGCAGGGGGAGGAAGAAAGAAAAGAGAAAGAAATGTGCACTCCTAATTTTAAAAGCCTGAAGCTTCCAGCCACCATTCCATAGAGTAACTTTAGGCCCCTTTAAAACAACAGGTGCAAGAAGAGTTCTGCTACCCCTTCACTCTACTTTCATGGATGGAGATAAACTTACTTCAATAGGGACAGCTGTTGGAGGCACAGGAGTGTACTGGGGAATGTAGGTCCCTTGCATAGGTGCAGCAGCAGTCATGTACTAGAACAAATCAAAGGCAAATGAACATTAGAAAACCACAGTCAAGATGCATAAAACCATATCAGAAGCATGATGGTTTCTATTTCCTGTTCAGAGACTTTTGGTTAGTGTAAAGCCTATTATTCTTTTACTTAAGGATTTTAGGAAATGGTAGGAATTACCTAGCTATTAAAAATCGCAATCTTGAACTTCCAAGTTGGGTCATATCTGAATATAGGCAATAGCAAACGTCTTGCTGATAGATTCCTATTGTTCACATGGCTTCTAAAATTGAGAGACTCCTATTTGTACTTACAAAAAAACCAACAGAGACATGATAGCAGCATGTATATATAGTGGTTACAGATACAAAAACAGTCTAAGCAATCTTTTGGAGTCTTATTGATCTTATGTAATGACACCTAGAAAAAAAGCAGCATGAAATTTGACAGGCTTATTCCTGTCTATATTTAACCCTACCAATAACAGCAGTTCAGTTTACAGGGATACAAAACTGCAGGGAGGTGCAATCCGAGACAGGAAACATAAAGGAAGAGGAAGATATATCTGGGAGTTTCTCCTGTTGTACACAGAATCCCTAGCTAAATTCTTATGGTTTATTCTTAATATCCAGGGATCTTTTCTACACATTTAGGAACTTCTTCAAATTATTATTACAGCAACACTTTGTGTTAACCTTCTCTAAAGTACTGTCTCTCCCAAGCACTACAAGACAATCTTTTTTTTTAAAAATTCATGACTGCATGTGTATTTTGCCATTGGTATGGCACTAATCTCATGATATACAGAATTTCTTAAAAAGCTGTTGACCTGAATGCAACAGATACTTCAAATAAGGTATCAATATTAAGTTGTCAGATCTATTATGTACTTTTCTTTCTACAATACAGTCCTAACTGCATGTCTTCACTGACAAGAATCTCAGAATGTACCCAATCCCACAACTGACTATATGACACTTCCACTACATGTTATCTTCAAAGACACACTGAATATCTGAATCAGCCCAGGATGTATTTGATGAATTTTAAAATGAGTTAAATATAGCTTTGCTTCCTGTCAGAGCCAGGAAGTGCTTGCAAGATTTTATTCTGCTGTTTACAGTAAAATTTACATTTAAAGCACTCTCTTACCTCAATTCTAAACTAACTGGACAGTCTGATATGCCTGTCACAGACACGCATTATGAAATTGCATAGTGGGGTGCTGTTTCTTCAGCAATACTGGAGAAAGGCCTTAGGAAATGAGAACAGCATATTTAAGAAACTGACAGCTAAATTCTGAAGGCTTCATTAAAGTAGAAGAAAAAAAATACTTAAATGAAATTGTTTTCTATATAAAAAAAAAATCTGTGACGAACATAGGTGACACAGAATGTATACTTGCAATATGAGTAGCATATTTTGTTGAAAACCATTACAGTATTTATGCTAAAATACACAGTGTTTTCCTTAACTTGAGCAAAGAGACAGGAGTGTCCCCAGTGCCTGTGTGCCTGTATCAGGCCATGTTTTTCTGCACCTCCTTCTCCTTGTTCTTCAGAACGATAATTGAATTCAATAGTTTTTTTATTAATGCTAACCCACCAAAGACATTAGGCCGAATATCCCTATTGTACCCAGTACAGTTGGGCTATTCTCCTGCCTTAAGGATTAGGAGCTAATGAGAATGTTACAGCACGGTGTTCCAGAGCTGCTTCCGCTTCATTCATTCTGCTTTGTACTGTTGCCGTCACATGTTGGGACGACATCTGCTGTGTAGCATTGTCTAAATGTGTCAATATTTAACATTAACCTGAAGCACTCATTCTTATAGTTCTGCAAATATCTACAAGAGTTTTAAACACCTACACAGGCTAGCTTCACGTGGACAAACATACATAGATTTTAATTTAAAGTGTTAATTTAAAGAATAAAGCGGCCTTATTCAACTTGGACTTCTGAGCTGTTCCTTGAACCCAGCAGAAGATCAATGCTCAGACTTGTATAAGATGCAGTTGCCTGCCATTATCTTACCTTACATGCAAACATGAGTGTGTATTTGTGATACACAAATATCAAATTATTCAACTGCCTTTTAATTCAGACCAGGCCACTTTCTGCAAAATCCTTTGGCACTGAGTTCTGTAGCATAACAATTGAAACTGCCTGGGAATTAACTGGTGTCTTTGCTTACCTCTATTGTTATGGTTTTCCTCATGAGGCAGATCCTGATCTTAATTATGACTACTTCACATTGCTTCCTTCACTGCTACACAATCTCTAGCGGAAACTGTTCTGCTGACTTGAGTGTGACTGGTGGCCCTGGCCAACCCCTGCTTGCCCTCATCTTTCCAGACACTCACACCTCCCCATACTCTCCCAGTTTAATTTTTTCGCATGAATTTTAACTGAATTCAGCCGAACAGCAGGTGATTTACAGTGCTGGAGACCAAAGCCATCTAGTTACTTGCCAGACTCCCTGAAGAACTGTAGGAATGTGACATCTCCCCTGTATGTAACATATTCTGCTTGTCTAAATGTCCACTGTAATGGTGGTTCAACCTTTTGGTTAAATCATTTAGAACTCTACAATTAAAACAAATTATGTGGGCCAAATTAGTTCCACTGGTGGCATAAATGAAGTCACAGTTTTTGTGGCAAAGAATTTGGTTCTAGTAAAAGTTAACCAAGGCTCAATCCTACAGAATACTGCTGCTTAACAACCAGCCCTTAACCACAAGCAGCAGACTGGTCTGTATTATGGGTAGACACATCGCACCCTTCAGTGGAATATCCAAACATATTTAATGCATTTATCTTTATGAATGTAAAGATACCCTCATCATTTCAGAAGAGAGTAACAAGGTCAAAAATTAAACATGTTATCATGGCTTGGAACTGATTCTCAGTCTCCAGACTCTCACTTAAGGATCCATTGAGGCTTCTGTAAAAAACTACAAAACTATAATGGACAACTAGGGCTTAGTTCTCAGAGATACACAATTGGTCTTAAGTATCTAAAGTCCCCTCGCATGCATAGGGAGTCCCAGCTGAGACCACATGAATTCAGGACTGTCTGCCCTGCTGGATCTGTTTTCACCATGGGAAGCCTAGAGCTGAGAAGCTGCTTTAGTTTATCTTGTTTATTAACAGTATAATGAAAAAAGAGTGCAGATTAATTTTTGTTGTAACTGACATTAGCTCAATCAAGTTCAAATGTATGTCTTTCCTTTATGAACTACATAATCCTAATTGTCTGATCTCACAGGATAAATACATTAAAGATTACACAGTGCTAGGGCACAATGTCAGTGTCAATACTTACATCAATGGCTTTGGATAATGCAAGAGCTGAATTTCTTGTCAGGAATACTCAAAGTTGGTTGTTAGCAGAAAGCTTCCTGAACACTGCTTTTCAGCAGCTTCTATACCCAGTACACACTAAGCCCACTGGAGTCTGTGTCTCTCCCTAGGTCTCCCAGACACTTTACCTAGCTATTCTGTAAAACAGTGTGCTCTGGATGTGTTGGAGTGAGGGCTGCCCACGCTGGAAGGTGGAAAAGAGATTCAGAAAGAATTGTGAGACTCAGAAGAAAAGTTTAACATTTTATATCTACCCTGCTCAGAACCATCCAGGATGAAGATTCTGCTCTAAGGACATCCCTCAGATGAGGGACTCTGTAGCAATGCAGCTCCATGGGGACCACAGGTCCTGTAGATGTACATGGTCTGCATATGGCTTCCCACCTACCTCAAGAAACTAACACAACTTGGAAGTAGGCAGCTGGCAAACAAAGATGACATCTATGTCAGAAGACCATCACTGAGATTTATTTTCTCCATGAACCACACTCACTAAAGTTCTTTACCTTTATTCACACTAACGTACGTGTGAGAGACAGCATGACTGACATGCTCAGCTTAGCAGTACCAAGCCAATTCCACTAAACATTAGTAATGTAAGCACCGAAATGAGAGAATCTGAAAAATCCAGATCCATTAATTCTTTGTCATATGTTTCCATCAGGATTAAAGATTCTTGAGCTGTAATGTGACCAGTCATTCAGCAAAGTATGTACAAGGCAGATGAAAACATTGTTCATTCTTCCACAACTGTACGGGCTTTGTGGGTCTAAAAGTAGAAGCTGCTTATTTCTGATAGTAAAATGACTAGTGACTCTACAGGCATGGATGAAGGATCTGGAGGGTATAAGGGAGCTTTTTTGGAGATCTGATCCTTTAAAAGCTTTAATTTCTACTACAGAAAGAGAAAAAAAAAAGACATTGCTGGTGGCACTGTTCTCTTAATTTGTTTGTAAACTGTTATTTTCTTCATACAGTATACAGAATGCATGTTCTCAGCACTGAGGATGAGCAGTATTATAATACAATTCATGCTTTACAATGCCTGACTGCTTAATTCAGACCACACCCGTAGGCCACCAATTTAGCCTATATGCTACATTAACAATTCTACTCACACTTTGTCCAATGGGATTTTTGTTTTTACCTTTTTGAAACTGCTAAAGTATGTGAAAAAATATATAGCTAGAAAATGAGAGTAGTAATATACACTTACACCTTTGCTCTCCTTTCAGACATTACCCTCTGTGACTAAAGAGTTAAATGAAAGGAGGTAACAAACAAATGAGGAGGTGGGCTGAGGAGTTAAATGAAACTGTGAGAAGGATGATGTTTAATTCAGAGAGCAACATCAGTTCTTACAGATCTGCAAACAGTGGGGTATCCCAGCCTGGCTCCAGCAAGACTCCTGTTAAGCCTGCAGCAAACACCAAACCCATAAAGGTGGCAGCCATTGGGAAGAAGAAAACAGGAGGAAGGCAGCTGCCTGCACCAGGCAGAGTGAGGGAGCATGTCACAGTAGGATAATACATTTCACCCATCAAAGGTGGAGCTGAGCGACCTGTAGGGAATTTGCAGGAGCTTTTACATAGAGACTATGGCACAGGTAATGTCCGTTTATGCATTTGCCCTAGTAAGCCTCTGGCCTGCCTTTCT